TATTGACAAGTTCTTACTTAAATAGGATATATAAATTTTTTTCCATCGTTTCTGTTTAGATACATCCTCTAGTCAGTTGGAGTACTCTTTTCGCTGGTATCCAACATACCGACGTGGGGATACTACGACGCCGATTTAAACAAGACTTTCATTACAGCCACTATTTTAATGTGAGGTAAGGCGAAGAAAAAGAGGCAGAGATTCTGCTCAGAACCGTCACGAAAACCGAAAAACTAGAAAGCTCCTTCAAATTGCATACACGCTACACGTGTGGAATTTCATTATGCTGTGCTAAGACCAAAGTGGTGTTGCGAAATCGGTTATAGATGATGTCTGAACCGAGGGAATGGAAAAGAGGCAAAAAACACCCACTAACGCATCGTGAAGGCGAGAACTGGCAAGAGTGACTTGGCTAAAGTCAGAATAGGGCCTCGCACGTGCAGAATTGCCCCTCGGTGTCATTAAAGGCCTCTTGAGGGTATAAATCAAAGCCAGACTTGAATACACCCATTTTCCCTCCTTTTTCTCTGATAAAAGAACTTATTGAAGGTAAAGAGCAGGAGGGAGTGAAGTAGTAGTACATTTGACTAATTGATGAAATAAATAACCTCAGGCAGGGCATTAGATAGCCATTCGAAAATGTCTTTATACGATAAGATTGGTCTCAAATTTGATGCCATCCAGATTTACAGGCACGGGAGTTCAGACAAGGTGGCAAGGGCGAATAAACCCCAACCTCTATCCTTCAGTGTTCCTATGACTAGCGATGGGTATACGTGACGGCCTGCACATTCCTCCTTCCCCCATACAGTTCCTAAACTGGACAAAATTCCCGATCCTGTGGAATTGGCGAGAGGGATCAGCGATGTTGCAGTCAGATATCTTCCCAGTTGATTGGTGGGCATTTCGTCCTACGGCACCGACTACTTTGTGATGGCCGACGCGGAAGGTTGGTCAAGTGAAGCACAGTAGAAGACGCTCAGTGGAGGAGAGGGGAGCTATGCAATTATTTGATCATTTGTTTAACTCCTTGTTAGGATTTATTGGGCACTTAAACCGCCTATGCACTACTCCTGAGTGGCATG